TTTCAGTATATTATTTTTTTTGACTAAAGTTTAAATAGATTTCTTGCAAGTTCGATTTCTGATGATCATTAGTGCGCCACCTAAAAGTTAAATGATGTCGCCTTTTGCCGTATCTTTGGTGTTGAGAAAATAGATACATTCTAACTCACATTCTCAATGATATTCTAGATTTTACTGGCAAAGATGTAATACAAGATATAGAATTTTTTAGGCACTATTCAAGATCCTGACATTGTCTCCAAAAAGCAAAGTATAGTTAATGTGTTATATAGGGATTCTAAAGGGTTGCAATGGATAGTTGATATGTAGGTCCTAAAATCAAAGGCTTTGAGAAACGCGCTCAATACTATGCCTCTAAAGCCTATTCTAGAGAGGCTAATAAAGGTGATCATCAAGATCTTAAGGAAATTATTTAGCTATAGCAGATTGTATCCCGCTTCCAGATAAGTCTGAATATAAATCTAGATATACTATTCCGATGAAGATGCTAATGAGCATGATTAAGGGATTTTTTACTTTATGTTAATGGATCTACCTCTTTAAATATGAAGATGAGGCCAACGGAAAAGAGCTAAAATAGGTAGCGATGTAGTAATCAAAAAGCCCATAAAGAGCTAATAGGCTCAGCTGCTCAGATGTAGAACCAAGAACCTACTAGCGAGAAATAAACGTATTCTTGATAAACAGGCTATCCCTTCCCAAAAACTCTATGATGCCAATGAAAAAGGTAGACAAGAAGGCATTCAAATTGGCAAAGAAAAATGTGAAATGAAAGCTAAAGTTGCACTGGCTAAAACCTACTTAAAGCTCGTATATCTGTAGATGTTATAGCTGAATCTACAGGTCTATCAGCGAATGAAATCAATGCTAGAGAAAAGTGCCGTTTAGTTATGCAAATACGGATTGTAGAAGTCTATGCTGTACTTTTGCGCTTCATCACTTTATTGTTAATCAACTCTATTGCTTTTTTAAAATCTATGTTTTTAATATCCGCATCTTTACCTAGGGCAACATTTATTTTTCCACATTTTATATAATATCCATACTTTCCATCGCAAATAATAATCTCTCTTCCTTGTTCATCAAAACCAAGAGATTTTAATTCTTTGCGTGTGCTATTTGCTATAATTTCTATAGCTTCATTTAATTTAATGCTCAAAGCTTCCATAGGTCCTTTTTTAATGGAAAAATATTTATTATCATAAAAAACATAGCATCCAAATCGCCCAAGGCCCACTTTTACTTTTTTTCCTGTTTCTGGATATTCCCCAATTATTTTTGGTAAAGATAGTAGTCCAATTGCAGTGCTCAAATCTAAATTCTCAACATTCATGTCTTTTGGTATGGCTACTGCTTTTTTCTTATCTAACTCACTATTAAGCTGCAGATAAAATCCATAAGGACCCTTCTTAATCACAACTTCTTGACCAGTTATATTATCTATTCCCAAGCTTTTAGGATACGTTGAATTCTCATTGCCACTATCAGTAACTTCTTTTGTATAACGGCATTCAGGATAATTAGAGCAGCCAAAAAATGCTCCGCTACGCCCAACGTTTAATTTCAAGATACCATCAGAACAAGTAGTACATTTTTTTTCTATATTATTTCTTTCTTCTTCTGAGCAAAAACAGTCAAGAATTAAATCACTGATACCATCCAAAATTTCATCATATGCCATCTGTTTAACAGAACTAATATTGTTAAAAAATGGTAGCCAAAATTGGCTTAGTACTTCCCTCCTCTTTGCATTTCCATTTGATATTAAATCAAGTTCTTCTTCCATTTGAGCTGTAAAATCGTATTCTACATAACGATCAAAAAATTTCTTTAGGAAAATGGTAACAACCTTACCACGACTGCTAGGAAAAAACCTTTTGTTGTCTAGCACAACATAATCACGGTCCTGCAACACTGAAATAATCATCGAGTAAGTTGATGGACGGCCTATACCTACTTCCTCCATTTTCTTCACAATACTTGCTTCACTATAGCGTGGTGGAGGTTGCGTAAAATGCTGTTCATAAGTAACAGAAATTAATTCGCACGCTTCTCCTTCTTTCATAGCGGGCAATAGACTATCATCTTCAGTTTCCATATTATCTCGATAAACCTTATAAAACCCATCAAACAATATATTTGACCCGCTTGTTCTAAGAATTACCTGATAATCATTAGAACTAATCTCTACTATCATTTGGTCAATAATTGCTGACTCCATCTGACTCGCGATGGTTCTTTTCCAAATCAAGTCATATAATTTCAATTGCTCTGGAGTTAAGTAATTTGCAATGCTATCTGGTGTTCTATTAATATCTGTTGGCCGAATTGCTTCATGTGCTTCCTGAGCATTTTTGACTTTTTTAACATATTGAAGAGGAGACTTAGGCAGGTATTTATCACCATATAATGACTTGATAGATCCCCTAATTGAGCCAATAGCTTCATCTGCAATGTAAAATCCATCTGTACGCATGTAAGTAATTAAACCCACAGTTTCCCCACCAATATTAATACCTTCATATAAATTTTGTGCTATGCGCATAACGTTCTTTACGTTGAAATACAGTTTATTTACTGCATCTTGCTGTAGAGTTGAAGTAATAAATGGGGGAGGGGGATTCCTCTTTATTTGCTTATTTTCTATTTTGCTGACAGTGTATTGCNTAGGCAGCGCAAAGAAAGTCTCGCTCGCA